ATTCAACTACCACCCCCACCCCCGGAAACAATCAACAGTTACCATCAACACAACCAGCACACCTTTCTGGCTAACAGCCCTACGGAGTTCACTCCCAGGTATTTTCCAAAGCAAGAAAGGATTCAGAGGGTGATGGGTGCTGGGTTTGGGGAGAAGGAAGGACACCTGGAAAGCAGCTGGGGCCCTGCCTTGGTGACTGAAGCTCCTCCCCCTGTTTGCTGAATAATACAAGGGTCTCAGTTTTCAGGGAGGAGGTACACATGGAAACAACACAGAGGTCTAGAAATGGGCCTGCTAGCGCCCCCACATATCTGCACAGGCATCCATCAAACATGGGATGGACCCAAGGAAAGTTCCGAGGGTCTCAATTCCTCTGCATCATGCTGCCCGTCCTCTCCCCAAAAGGACTGTTGAGACAGAGTGCCAAAATGCAAAGGGACAATAGTTTTCATCACAATCCCCAGCATCTAGCCATCTTGGTGTCAACAGCACAGGGCAGTTTGGTGTGCACTCAGTTTCTGTTTCCAGAGATATTCATGGAGCTCAGCAGCACCTTGAGGCCAGAAGCTCTGAGCCAAATTTGTAGGACACACCTCGAAGCCGTGGTTCCTCTTGGAGTAGGCTGATGCGGTCTGGTCCTGTCACTCATAAGGTGGTGGCCTTAATAGGATGCTACCAGCCCCAACGTTTTACCAGTCTTCCTTCTCTAAAGCACCAGCAGTCTGGAGCTTGCCTTCCCACAGGTGGAGGCCTCTACACCCAGCCAAAGACCCAGGCAAGTAGTCATGTGCTTTCACTAATTCTCTGGCCACACGACAGTAAGTACCAGATGTAGCTGTCTGTTCCTTCAGCTCAAGCAAGACTAGAAGGGAGACAGCCATGAATGAATGGCAGAAGTGACAGCTGACAGGCTGTGATTCCAAGAGGTAGAAAAATAATGAGTTCTAAAGCCATTTTACCAGAGGATATAAAACTGAAGGCTCATAACAATGACTTTGAGCTAAATAGAGGTTAAGTCATATCCTGACTCTTGTGGGTGGATAGCAAAGTAGAAATACATTAAAAAAAAAAGAAGCCCTTGGTTCAATCCTCAGCAACACACACACACACACACACTTGGGGAAAGAGAGATAGTGAACAGGAAAGTCTAGTTGTGTTAAGAAAGCACACACCTTTAATCCCAGCACTCAGAAGGCAGAGGCAGTTGGATCTTTGTGAGTTTGAGGCCAGCCTGGTCTACAGAATGAGGTCCAGGACAGCCAGGGCTACACAGAGAAACCCAGTCTCAAAAACAAAACAAAACAAAAACGAAGAGTTCAAAGCTTGCCTGGGCTACAGAATAAGTTTCTAGACCAACATGAATAATTTGGTGAACTGTCTCAAAGTTTAATAAGTTAATAAGAGGGGGTTGGGGATGTAGTTCAGTGGTGGAGTTCTTGGCTGAGAAAAAGGAAGGAAGGAAGGAGGGAAGAGGGGAGGGAGGGAGGAAGGAAACAATGTACCTACCAGGCACTCTGGGTGTCCTATCTGCCCTCTTCCACTCACACCTATCACAGGTACATATTTTTTGCCAACTAGTGCCATAGCTTTGCCAACTGTGTTGTGTAGAGGAGCTTTGCACTGAGTACAGTGGTGCACACTTTTAGTCCCAGTTCTTGGGAGGCAGAGGTAGGCAGATCTCTTTGAGTTCGACTGCAGCCTGTTGCAGTGAGAAGTGGACCAACAAGCCAGGGTTACAATGGTAAGAACCTGTCTCAAAAAATAAAGGAAAAGATGAAAGGAAGGAAGGGAGAGAGCGAGGGAGGGAGGGAGGGAGATGGGGAGGGAGGGAGGAGGGAGGGAGAGAGAGGAAGGAAGGAAGGAAGGAAGGAAGGAAGGAAGGAAGGAGGAGGGGGAGGAGGAGGAGAAGGAGAAGGAGAAAACAAAATGATTTAAAGTCACAGGGACAGTGCTAGCAGAGGCAGCATGCCGGGATCCAGCCTGTATCAGTCCCATTCTACAGAGGCCATCTATTCTGGACTGATGTCTTTGGGGCTGCAATCGGAACCAGCCAAACAGTCCCGGGTCCATCCCTGAGTTGGGGAGTGTGGATTGGAAACTCCTAGCTACCCAGAGGCGTTAAGGACGAGACAGTCACATCTTGTCATCTCAGGAGGGCTCTCAGTCCATGCTGGAGTCCATGGTTTATTCAAGCATCCTCTTAAATAGCAGAATTTCCAACGGTGGGGGTGATAGCAGAAGACATCTATTATCATGTATAAATCTGATATCAAATATCTCCTTTAATCCTAGAGACACCCCCTAAAACCGCACATCCTCACTTGTCCCTCACCAGTCCCTAGGCACGTTCCTCCAGGCCCCATGATGGGTGTGCATCCACCCGGGGGCCTAGGCCTATTGTTAAACAAACTAGGAGACATTCTCCACCATAGCCAGGCCATCCAGAGGTAACCAGTCGACATCTGAAAGACAATGGGAGATTCAAGCTCCTGGAATTGAGCTGAGGTTTACACCAAAAATATCATATTCATATTCCCCCCCCCCCACAGCAGCAGGCCTGGGGTGCAGGGCTCTTGCCCTTAGCAGGAACACGTTTTCATCACACACAAGCATCTGTGTTCCATCAGAGTGTGATGGGGCCACAATCAGGCTGCAGGTGGAGGGAGGTGGGGAGGACAATGCAGAAGAGGTTGGGAAATGTGGGGCACAGGCTGGCAGGTGCCTGGGGCTTGGAGACGAATGGAAGATGCAGCTGGAAAGAACTGAAGGGCTGGCCCCGTTTCCTTTTGACCTCCTTCCTGGACCATTACTCCCACTAACTCATGAGGCCAAGTTTAGATTAGTGACTAGAGGCGTTAAGAGTAGGGTGGTTAGCAGGGTCCAGTGTGGAGGGACAAGGTGTTATGACTTCAAACAAAAAGCTAATGCCGCACAGTTCTGTGCAGCCCTCACACAGGGAGTAACCATGTGAGAAACAGCAGCCCTCAAACCGTGGACATTGTATTGCTTGAGCTGAGGCTCCACTCTTATCATGGCTAAGCCACTTTAACCCTTGGAGAGCATCTCCTTGTTGCTAAATAAGAACCAGGTCCCAGGAGTTTTTGGAAAGATCAAATGAGACAGTGGGTGTCAAGAGACCAAATACTATTTATATGAAAATCTTTACTAAGTGGGAGCTAGATTTCTCTCTTCACCATTACCCACCTGCCTCTTATATACTGAGATTGGGAGTCTGAGAGGTGCCAGGCCTGAGCAGCTGGCTATACACAGGCTGAGGGGAACAAGGCAGTGGTGACATCAAGAACAGAGTCTCAGCCCCCAAACTGGCAAGCTCGGCCTGAGGTTAGGACCTCACCAGCCCATCTCCCTATTCTCAGAGAAACTGCGCTGTGGAGACATCCCGACTCTTGCTGTATCAGCTACCAGCCTTCACTGTGAAGTCACTTAGCATCTCAGCTATAGGATACCAATACTGGGGTAGAAAATGAGGACTGGGCAGCATTCTGAAAGCGGCTCAGCTGCTGTTGTTTCTAGTGTTTTGTCTGAGTTGAATCTGTCCTGTTGAGCAGGAGGGTACCCTTGTCCCCCCGAGGGACATAAGTCAAACCACTGAACAAGAGACCAGGAGGATCTAGGCTTCATGGTGCACACCTGTAATTCTAGTTATTCAGGAGACAGGGGCACCACAAGTTCAAAGTCAGCCTGGGTTGCAGGGTGACTTTTTAAAAGCCAGCGTATAAAATTAATGCGATCTGATTCAGAAAGTGTGGGGGCTGGGGATAGTTCAGTGGAAAACTGCATGCCTAGCATGTGGAGGCTGAAGATTCAGTCCTGAGCACTGATGCAGGGGCAGGAAGATCTTAAGACCCTGGGCTGACTCAAACCTAAGCTGGGACAGTCTAAACTTCAGCAGGCACTGGACTGAGCCTTACTACCCTGAGGTGGAGTGCAGACAGCAGTCCCTGCCACAGGACAGCCAATCCTGAGAGCCCCAAACCAAGTTCCTGTCTCAAGGATCTTTCGGCTTACAGAAAGGGTGGGACTCTAGCACTTTCTTGCCTGCCCGGGTTGCTAGGTTCCAGCATCAGAAGACAAGAGAACAATCGAAAAGCAGCTCTCAAGTGGAGGGGGCTGGACAAGACCCCCACCCCACCCCCATGATTGACAGTGGTTGTGTCTTCCACTTCCTGTGAGATTGACAGTTGGGGCCCAGCTAGGTGTGGGACTCAAGCAGCCCCAGTGTGGTTATTTGTGCAGGCTCTTCTTGCCTCCCCTCCCCACAACTGTTTCCATTCTCACCACGAAGTCACGTCCGGGTCATGCACACAGGACAGCAGCTGGGGCTTTCCAAGGGACTTCTGAGAAAGCCAGTGAAAGCTTAGGCATTGGTTCCACAGCCTAGGCACACTCTTGGGGAAACTGCTCCCTCCTGGAGGAAGGTTCCAGCCTGGCAGAGTTGCTATGGCTATCCACCAGGGCCATTAACTGAAACTCAGCTAAAGAACTCAGCATCTATGACTAGAGAACGCCTTCAACAGCACAGTCTGGAACTGAGAGTAATGACCCATTACCCCAGAGCACAGGTCTCCTAGTGGATATGAGTGGCCTGGTCACTACCAGCTTGCTTTCCATAGGCTGGGACGAGTCAAGTGGAGTCAGGAGACAGCCATGGGATCAGCCGACCTTCCTTCTCACACTTTACACCTGTGACAGCAGCTCAGACAAAGTGAGGATGAGAAGTAAAAACAGGGTCAAGGGGTAGAAGGCACTAAGGAGTCTTGGGATTCCTTCAGAGACTGTTGCTTCAAGTCTAGATGGACACGACTTCCAGTCAGAGGGGTGACCTTGCCTCAGGACAGCAGGCCTTCCCACAATACACCAGCTAGCACACAGAATAGCTGTGCCCTGCAGCCTCAAGGGTTCAGCCGAGCTGCTTCCGCTCACAGGGCAAGTGAGCCCTCACTTTGAGAGAGACAGAAACACAAGGCATAGGCCACAGCTTTGAGCACATTCCAAAAGTTAATTTTATTGGTATTGAACCTAAGCCCTGCCCATGGACAAAGGCAAAGTCTTGGACAGAGGTAGGAAAACCAGCATCTTACTCTCTCCTTCATACAGTCTCTGGAGTCCACCAACCCAGATACTGGCACTTCACCAGTCATCAGAGAAAGTGAAATGACTCAAGGGCCGGATGTGCTGCTTTCATGGGAGTCTACTGATCCTGAGATGGAGGGCAGGGAGTATTTGGAGTTCTGCTTCTTTAGCTCCACAAGAAAACAAACACAGGCCAGAAGTAGAAAGCAAGACACTGTGGGCTGCACCTAGCTAGGTCTTTATTGCTGTGTCTCTGGATTTGTAGGCCACTCCTCGACTTTTCAGCTCCCGAACAATTCCTGTGACAGGAAAAGAACAGTCCCATGAGAGAGTCACAAGGATAAAGCCACCCAACCTGTCTGCCACTGTGAATTGGGGTTCCCTGATTATTACCTAAGATCCAAGAAAAGTGCCTACCAGGGAAGAACAAAAAGCAGGGCTCACACTCATCAAAACCAAAGGTTTACTGGGCGGTGGTGGCGCAAGCCTTTAATCCCAGCACTTGGGAAGCAGAGGCAAGTGGATCTCTGTGAGTTCGAGGCCAGCCTATCTACAGAGCAAGTTCTAGGACAGGCTCTAAAGCTATACAAAGAAACACTGCCTTCAATATGCTCCTCCCCCTCAAAAAGATAAAACAAAAAACAAAACCGAAAGGTCTGGAGCCAAATGTCTGGACAATATCAGTCAAGTTATTGGTGTCAATTCACATAAAAGACTGGCTTCCACTAGGGCCAGAATAGAACCACTGCTACAATTGTTATTACCTTGGGGCAGGCGACCAGTGACTGACACAGCATATACACCTGGCTTAAAGTTACCTGAGGAAGAAAGGAGACTACAATGAGAATGAGTTAAGACTGGAGACCAATGGAGAATTAAGCCAAAAACAGAAGAGGGGTAGAGAGGAAAGGGTGTGTGTGTGTGTGTGTGTGTGTGTGTGTGTGTGTGTGTGTGTGTGTGTGTGTGTGTGTGTGTGTGTGTGTGGGTAGAGGAGGAAGACAACTTGTGAAGTCAGTTCTTTCCTTCCGCCACGTGGGTCCCCAGGATCACTCAGGCTGTCCAACCTGGCATTGCTGAGCCATCTTTCCAGCCCCAAGGCTGGACTTTCCTATAACTCCATCTTCCCATCATGGGAGTGCACACCCTGCTGATTTAAAGGTCCCTGCAGACCCTCAGGCACATTCTCAACACTACACAGGCCAGGATAAGAAGACCAACACTTACTGACTCGCTGCCACTTGGAGACCCAGCTGTCTTCTGGACTCATCATTGCAATGATTCTAGAGAGAGAAAATGCAGAGTTAGCCTGAGCCTACCCTGTAGAGAGGGCTCTGAGCAAGCAATAGCCCTGGGAGGGCAGTCTGTGGAGACAGTTGTCTCCAGAAAGCTGGGAAGTAGTTCTAATGCTGGGAAGGAGCTGACTTAGGGAGGGAGTGACAACAGTATTTCAGTCTATGTCCCTGGCCAGCCAGTAAGAAGAGCTTTATACATGGATGATCAGTCCTGACTATGACCAGCCCAATCATGAGGTGCTGGAGCCTGGGGCAAAGGAGTCAAAACAATGGATCATGTTACTGCAAATGAAGGAGACTTGACCAAGCCCGTCCTCTAATGAGCTGTGTAGTCTGAAATACACATAGAGACATTTCAAAGATTTTTCACCAATGAGACTTGGAGACTGAGGTAACATGCAAAGCGCCTAGTACGGAGACTGACATGGTAGACCAAGGGTTGCCTCTTATTCCAACAATCCTTTGGCAGGCCATGCACTGGTGGTGAGCAGAAAGGCACTATGTAAGTAGGCAGGCACTATGAGGAGCAACAGAGGTTATTTTGTTATTCACCCAAAAGTTGCCAAAGTCTAAATAAACTGTCAGGTCTGTTCTAGGAACTGAAACATGTTTGTTGACTGTCTCCCCCAAGGCCTTTTGTTTTCCTGGCAACAATGCTGGAGTCTGTTTTCATTCATGGTTTGAGTGGAACTGATCTCACATCCAGGAGCGGCAAGAAGGATAAAGATGGCCACCTGGCTCTGTAGATTGATCCAGGATAGTCACATACAAAAGCTTTCCTTCCACCATCTGTACTTTCTCTGCTCTTCACAATCTACCCTTTCTGTTACCTAAATTACACCTTTTAAAGAGAATGTCCACACTTCTCCAAACATACCCAGGTGTTCCTAACCTACGCCTCTGCTTCAGTCATACACCTTTATTTGAAATGCTATTTTTACCTCATCTCAACTTCTTCCAAGATCCTATAGTTCTAGTCAGGCCTGAGCAGGCAAGCCTGCAATCCCAGCTATGCTGGAGGCTGAGTCAGGAAGATTTCAAGTCCAACTTAAAATGATGTTTCAAAAATAAAAAAGTAAAAGGGAGGGCTATGAAGATATTTTCCCTCTCTGAGGTAGAAAATTTGCTTGGCATTCACAAAGGCCCTATATTCAATTCTCAACAATATATATATCAAAAATGAAAAAAGATCTTATAGTTCTTTAAGATTAACAAATTAGCCAGGTGGTGGTGACAGTACTTGGGAGGCAGAGGCAGGCTAATCTCTGTGAGTTTGGGGCCAGCCTAGTCTACAGAGTGAGTGCCAGGATAGGCTCCAAAACTACACAGAGAAACCCTGTCTAGAAAAAGAAAAGAAAAAGATGGCCAGGCGAACCCAATGATGGTGGCACACACCTTTAATCCCAGTGCTCGGAAGGCAAAGACAGGTAGATCTCTGTGAGTTCAAAGCCAGCCTGGTCTATATATGGAGTTCCAGGACAGCCAGGGAGACAGAGAAACTCTGCCTCAAAAAAATAAAAACAAAACCAAACAACCAATCAACCAACCAAAAAAACAAAGAACAAAGAAACCCAGAAAGCAACAGGAGGTGGTGATGAGGAGAGACACTGGAACCTTCAAGTACTGTTTTTTGTTCCTCAAACAACTAAATAGTTGTTACATTATGATATAGCAATTCTACTCATGGGCATACAACCAAAAGCTCTAAAGCAAGGACTTAAGCAAGTATGTGTAGATCATCTTCATAATGGCCAAAAGGTAAGAAACCAGGGCATCAACAAATAACACAACTTTAAAATCTGTATTACACACATAAGTATAAAAATAGCCAACTTCAAAAAAAAAAAAAGTAAAAAAAAAAAACAAAAACAAAAAAACTTTTGGGAGACAGAGAGCAGCTCAGTGATTAAGAGTACATACTGTTCTCAAAAAGAACCCAAGTACAGTTCCCCACACCCACACAGGGCAGCTCACAACTGCCTGTAATTCTAGCTCCAAGGGGGATTTGAGGACTTTGGCCTTCTTGGGCACCTGCATTCATGTGCACATACCCACACACATACATGTAATTCAAAAAGAAAAATATATCTTTAAAACAATTTTAAAAGGTTAAACTGGTAAGAATTCAAAGTGTTCTCTTACTCATCTCACTGTATAACTCTTACCATCTTTCAAAGCAGCTACCACAGACTTTCACTTATAGATGGAAGCACCTACAGTTTAGACTCTATTTTCAGACAGGGGTCTCCTATGATGCAACCAAGAGCTACCTGACACTTGTGTCACCCCTAACTCAGCTTGAGTGTTAGGACTGAAGGAAGTTATCAACACACCCAGCTTTTTCATTAATCATCAATCTTGAATGGCTAATGAAGAAGCAAAGGGAAGAGAGTACATTGAGTGTGTATTTGGATGCACAGGAACTAAAGATTCCAAATCAACATCTTTTTTGGCCCAATCTTTTATTCTTCCCTGAAAGAAATCAGGCCCACCTCCACTGAACTTTAACAAATACTAGGCCTAAGCCCAGTTAATATGTAAATCTTTAATTGGCTGGCAGTCCAGAAACCAAGCAATGCTGCTGCCTTGGGGAAGACCACCAGGCCATTCACGATTCTCTCATTTTCCTTTGTCCCCCACTGGACCATGCTGCCAAAAGAAAAGTCCTCTTATAGGTCTCTTCAAGATTATCAAGTTTGAGCCGGGCGTTGGTGGAGCACGCCTTTAATCCCAGCACTTGGGAGGCAAAGGCAGGTGGATGTTCATGAGTTCAAGGCAAGCCTGGTCTCCAGATCGAGTGCCAGGATAGGCTCCAAAGCTACACAGAGAAACCCTGTCTCCAAAAAACAAAAACAAAAAGATTATCAGGTTTGTTTTATTTTTTTTTTCTGTTTTGTTTTGATGTTTGGTTTTTTCTTGAGACAGGGTTTCTCTGTAGCTTTAGAGCCTGTCCTGGAACTTGCTCTGTAGACCAGGCTGGCCTTGAACTCATGAACATCCACCTGCCTCTGCCTCCTGAGTGCTGGGATTAAAAGCATGCACCACCAGAGATCAATGTGGTTTTATTATTATTTTTCTAGTTAACTTATTTGGGTATGTGGGGGGGGGGTACCCTTTTCTTCACAGATATGCATGCCAGGGCACATGTATTGAGGTCAGAAAAACAATTCTAGGAACTCAGTTCTCTCCTGCCACCTTGTGGGATCCAGGATTGAAGTCAAAAGTTATCAGCCTGCCATCAGGCATGTCACCTGCTAAGCCATCCAGTTGATCTTGTCTGAGACAGGGTCTCACATAGCACAGATTGGCCTTAGACACATTATGCAGTTAAGGCTAGCCCTGAACTCCTATTCTCTGGCTTCTCCCTGTCAGATGATGAGATCAGGTGCAAGCCACCATACTCACGAAGATAATGTTGGAGGGCATAGTTTACTGTAACCATACCTACCTTCTCCTTCTTTTTTAAAGTGGATCTTCATGCATCTGCTTTGGGAGAAGCCTCAGGAATTAAACCGAGGGCTTTGTTTATGGTAACCACATGCTCTAGGGCTGAGTTATACTTTCAACCCTTCAACATTAAGGATCTACCACCTCCTACAGCCTGTGCCAGGCAGTGGTGTCCAAGATAAACACAGTGAGTGTCAGCTATCATTGAGCTGACAAGAGTGGGGAAGCACTGTTAAACAAATACAGAAACAGGCCGTACCGTTTTAAATTTTCTCCTAGCCACTGTTTAAAACAGTAAAGAGAAGATGAAATTAATTTCAATATTTAACCAAATAAATACAAAACATTATTTCAGCATTTAACTAATCCTAAAAATTAAGATTATTTGGCATCCTTTCCCTTCAGTTTGAATCTTTGCTCTCTGGTGTATATTTGATACTTAACATATTCTTGTGTGTGTGTGTGTGTGTGTGTGTGGTTTTTTTTTTTTTTTTGTTTGTTTGTTTGTTTTTTTCCAAGACAGGGTTTCTCTGTGTAACAGCTCTGTCTGACCTGGAACTGGCTCTGTAGACCAGGCTGGCCTGGAACCCTTAGAGATCTGCCTGCCTCTGCCCCCATCCCCAGTGCTGGGATTAAAGGTGTACACCACCGCCCGGCAGTTAAACATGTTCTAATTTGAACTAACAACATGTCAAGTACTCAGCAGCTACAGGAAGCTCATAGCTACTGGTCTGAATACATAGAATTAGTGGGTCTCAAAAGAACTACTGAGACCAGCCAGTCTTAGGACTTCAAAAATCTGCCCCATACTCACTTCTTGGGTCACAATCAACACGGCTCAGAAGTGAACAAAGGAACATGAAGGGGCTTACCCGTCAAAGGAAGAGCTGGTGCAGTCATACACCATCTCTCTGTTGCCCTTCATTTGTAGGTATGCTTCGCAATTGTCACACCCATCATATTCAAACTGGTCTATAGTCTGGAAGGAAAAAAAAAAACCATGGAGGATGAGCATGAACAAGGTCTTAGTATTTCAACGAAGACAAATTCTTGGTTCTCTATGTAGCCCAACACCTACTGCTCTCTCCACTACTATTCCTGAACTCCATCCCCACACTCCTCCTTCTCATCCCTAATCCAGCCTATATACTTTTTCTAGTCGCCTTCGAGTCAGGAACCCTCTCCAACTACTCTCAGCTGCTTTGGCTCCTAGCGTCTCCCCAGCCCACCACAGTTAGGTTCACCGAACTGCCCGTTGGGGAGCCAAACTTATGCCGAAAGGCAGGTACGGTCGCCCCGCTCACGTTCTTCTGACGTAAACAATGGCTCCCTAAGGCTTCCCACTCCCCTGGCGACCTCAGATCTTCTCCTTTTCTGTCTGGGGGCCCCATTCCACCCTCTTTCTCTCATTTCGCCTCCTCGGTCGCTCCTATAACCAGGTCCCCGACCGACACCTTGACTAACGAACACAGCAAACACGCCCGCAGATGCCGCAGGTCCTTCGGCACCGTCTCCAGGGCCATCCCCACCGGCACCGTGAAATAGAGGGAAAGACGGGCACAGTCTCCACAGCCGCAGGAAGTAAACAGACCATTACCCAGAATGCCTGCCACTTGCTGGCGTAACTTCCTCTTCCGGTGCAGGCGGTCGCCGGCCCCGCCCCTCTCCCCCTTGGAGGAGATGGTTTCGCCCGTAGGGAACGTGGGCGGGGCAGCCGGCAGCCACCTGGGCCGCGCGCGCCCGTCACCTGGCCTCGCGTGAGCGAGCGGAAGACGGTGCGCGGGGGTGGGGTGGGGAGGGGACGGACGCGTAGGGGCGGGCCCGTGGGGTGCGGTCAGCGCATGCGCGGGAGGCGTGGCGCGGAGCGGCTTGCGGAACTGAGCGCCGGAACGCGGGCCTTTTGATGTAGACGCCTGGAGGCAGGCCCCGCTTTTCTCGGGGTCCCCGATGAGAACCTAGATTGCCCTGTCTGCTTGTTTTAGTTTGCTTATTTCTTGCGACAGTCAACGGTAATTCCTGCGCCGGTCTCTCTGCCTACTGGACGGTGACCTTGGTGATCCTCCTGCCTTCCCTTTCGGGAGTGCCGGGATGGCGGGCGCGTGCCACAACCGTTGGGGCGTTCTCCTCTTTTGAGACCAGGCTGTTCCGGTACTCCTTGCCCTCGAGCCTCAGCCTCCCGGATGCTCAGAATACAAGCCTGCAAGCTTCACGCTAGGTGGCTTTAAACCTAAGGCAGAGAGAGCCCTTGCCTTTCTGGGTCGTCTGCAGAGACGGAAAACAAACCCGGCGACAGGCCAGGCCCCGCCCCTTCTAGTAACCGCCAGAGCGTGATAGGGTTTCGTTTGCGGTCCACGGGAATGCGAGCCCGGGCCGCGCCGACTGGGGTGGGGGCCGCGCATATTCGGTTCCTCCTAAAAGCCTCTCGGTTTGGCGCGTCCCGCCTGATAATTTACGCTTTGTGAAACTCTTGGCACATTTAGACAAGAGTTCCATGAGAACCTCTGGAGATTGGGTATCTCACTTCTCGTACACTCCCCCACCTCAGCCGCCATTGAATAGTGTGTGACGCAAAACCCCTTGCCTTCTGAACTGGGCACCCGGACACCTAGTGTCCTGGGCAAACCATACAGAGAAGCACGAGGTATGGTGCAATATGAACAGAGCCAAAGCCCCTCTGCTGACCCCGGGGACTTTGTAGAGGGCACGAGATACACATGCCCTTTGAAGGGACCCCCCACACACACACACACACAGGAATTCATACAAAATACTAGTTCTCTTGCAGTGTAGACAAAGAGTAGTCATTGTGTTTATCTGAATTGGAGTGCTGGGATATAAATGATCGCAATCCCTACTGTTCTGTCCTTCCAACCCTTCTAATTGAAACTAAACTACCGAAAGACTGATTCGTGGCTGTCCCCATGCTGCATTCAACAGGGTGTGTAACTGGCTTTTAGATTCCCAGTTTGGCTGACATTTTCACTGAGCTATCTCATGTAAGCCTTATATCGACTCTGAAGGAGGATCATTTTATTGATGGAAACTGGGGAACTGGCTCAGGACCCACTGCATAAAAGCTGGGCATGATGGTATGCAACTACAATCGCAGCACCGGGGGCCAGAGATAGGCAGATCCCAGGGGCTTCAGGGCCAGCCAGTCTAGTCAAAACAAAGTTGCAGGTTCAGTGAGAGTCCCTTTTTGTTGTTTTCTCCAGAGACAGGGTCTATATGTAGCTCTGGCTGTCCTGGAACTTGACCTCAAACTCACACCTGAATACACGTGTGTACACACACATACACTACATACACACATACGTATTTGGTTAAGGTCACAAAGTTAGTCACTGAAGCATCAGTACAATACGAATAAATAACCAAATCTCAATGAGAACACAGGCATGTTGCTCTCGATAATCGAAGTCCTATCCTTACGAGCTTTTGACGTCACAAGTAACATACGAGGCCAGACCTAATAACAGTACATGCCTGTAATCCCAGTAATTGGGAGGGGGAAGCAGGAGGGCCAGGAGTTCAAGGCTAGTCTCAGCTATGAAATGAATTTGAGTCAGGCTGGGTCTCAAATATCCAACAAAAGGAAATAGAGAAGATGAAATTGTTATCCTGAGTGGAAAATCATAATGAAACAAAACCAGATCAGATTTATGGATAAATATATTAGCAAATAAATACATTTCTCAACATAGTGCCTGATTCAAGCATCTTTTTGTCTGGTTCAGATATAAATACCCATGTGGGTGCCTGGGTGACAGTCTCCCCACTGACTTTGAGGAGAGAAGGTTCCCAAGAAGGTTCCCGTGCCCATTTTGCCCCCACATTCACATTCCAGGCAAGGACCATGCCTGAGGGGCTAACAATGTTGAGGATGCCCTGGGATGAAGAGCTTCAGGAGGCCCCTCAGCCCTTGCCTACTTGGTACAAGCTGCCCAGGCCAACTTGTTGCTCCAATTCCACACGCACACCTTCTGTTGGGTTGTTGGTTTGTATGGCTTATACTGGGAAGGGGGGGGGCGTCTGGGCCCTGCAAACCCTTGAAGTCACATGTTATTCTCCATCTTTGCTCTGAGAATCTCTCCGAGAAGAATTCTGTCCTTGCCCAGCTCTACTTTTGCTTTCCCTGCCTTCATTTCATCCTCCCCAGATGAAGTTTAGTGGAGATTCCTGTCTGCCTGCTGCGGGATTTAGAGACAGGAGAGCAGGAGTAGTTATTCTCTCCTGTTCTCTCTCAGAGGAACTGGAGTTGCTGGAGTGACAAGGAGTTTGATAATCAAAAGATGCACCCCACGTTTGTCCAAGTCCCCACCTCTGGAACAGAACTCTACACCCTGGCTCCCGAAGCCTGCAACTTAAAATCAGTGTAAGAACAGGGAGGAAGAACTGCTCCTCCCTGAGCACCAGGACAGGCATCGGCTAGAGAAAGTGCAGAAACCTTCCTAGGGACAGAGGCTCACCTAATCTCCTTGTTCTTTTGTGAAGAAGGAAAACGATAAAGCTGAAGTTGCCTCCGTGGACCCTTGAAAGGAGAGGAGAAGTGGCCATGCACTCAGCTGAACCCACTGACTTGTGTGAACCTGAAGCCAGGGGCAAAGGGGACTCAGCAGGGGACTCAGCTGGGCTTGGGGAAAGAGCAGCACCTTGAGGACACCTAGACATTCACTCTAGCTTCCTGTCAACAACTCAGCCTTTAGGGACCCACCCCACAATTGCATAGTGGTTGGTGGTCTGGCTGGACACAAGACTTTCTGCACAGTGGGTGTGTTCTATAGACAAGACCGGGAGCAGGGGGCAGGAAACAGCACCCCCCTGCCACCCACCATCACCACTCTTCTTCCAGTGGTCCCAGGAAGTGTGGCAAACAGAGATGCTTGCTAAGGCCCTTGCTTCTCCTTGGAACAGAACCCTGCGCCAGGTAGAGCCCTGAGTCATCTGGAGCACACTCTTGGTTGGAGCGACATCTGATCATTTCACATCACACAGCCTGTTCACACAGCTCCTCGAGCTCCTCTTCTGAGCCTGCATGAGAAGAGCGGGGAGAAAAGAGGTCACTGAGGGTCCAGCCAGTCTCCTGCCTCTCCCACCTGTGGAGACTGTGGCTGGGAAGGGACCACAGAGAGGGAGAAGCGGGAAATATGTCTGGAAAGGTGATTAGGTTGAAAGCTGAGAGGGGCCCTTTGGGAAACGGGAGAGAAAAACAAACCTAGAAAAATACTTAGCAGCAACTGCTGTGTGACCAGCACTTACTATTCATTCATTCACCCAATACATATTTATTGAGCATTCATTGTGAACTTGGCTTGCTATCATTTGCTGAACAGAATCTCCAAAAGAATAAGCTAGGAGAGGAAGCATGCACGTGCATGGATATTAGGACGGTGGGGCAGAGCTAGGGTCATAGGAGATGCATCGTGGGAGAAGCAAGCACATCCAGACACAGCCGTGAGGAAAGACTTCCTGACTGAAGATTCCTGAGTTGGGGTTACAGGACTGGTAAGAATTGGGCTTGTGGGGACAGGGAAGTCAGTGGGACATTCTGCACAGCAGGAACTGTGTATAATTAGTGTTTACCTAACATGACTGAAGCAGAGGGCAGAGGAAGGGAAGGGAGATGGAGCTCGCTGGTGCTGGAGCCCCGAAGGCCACATTAGGTTAGATTTTTCCTTCCTGTGGACCTAAGAGAGCATTTGATTCTATACAGTTCATTGAAAGCTGGTGACCCTGGCACCAGGGAGGGGCACAGGGAGCTCTACTACACAACGGGACGGGACACAACACTGGGTGTGCCCCCCTCTGGCCTTCATGACCCTGTCAGAGCGAGGCTCCTGCTGTGACCTTCAGGCTGTACTCCGTATGAGTGGGGACCATCAGTGGACTGGAGGAGAAGGTGACAGAGCGAGCAGGGGCACAGGGAACAGCCATGTGAGGATCAAGGAAAGGGAAGGCACTGACTGTAGAGCAAAAAGTGGCCCGACTCTGGCAACACTCAAAGCAGATATGACAGAGTCCAAGGAGAACTCTGCTCACACCACATGACTGTGGACACTTTGATCCTACACACTGTTTGCATGCATGCCTTCCCCGTGGCCCGGGGTCTCCTGCATGGCAAACTCCGTGTCCTCAGAAGCCTGCCAAGAACCTATAACAAGCATATAACCAGGAGGAAGCAGAAAATGAATGACAGCAGCTCTCAGGCTCTGCCTGTAGGATCCCAGGCCTTGTATTTCAGGACCTCTGGGGTCCTCCCTTGCAGTAGCAATGGCTACAGCTGTTCATATAATGTCTCCCAAAGGTGGGAGGGGGTGGGAGGTAGGAGACTTGGATAGGGAGGATGGTTTGGGCAAATACATGTGCAAAGCCTTGGCTTAGAGCCAAGGATTTCCTTGGTGCCATTGGTTGAGACACAGACATGCCACGAGTTCCCATGAAAACGTGGCTGGCCTTATTCACAAGGGTGCTTGGAAGAGAAGCACCCCTAGGGAGGCTGGGAACTTCCTATGGTTTCTGTGCTTCACATAAGTTCAGCTTTCAGCAACCCCTTGGTTGTTTCCATCTGCCCTGCAACAATCAGGTGCAGCTTCCTCTCCCCAGAACACCTGCTTCCCTGAAAACTCACCAGGCTGGCCTGGTAGCACCTGGCAGTGTGGGTAAGGGCATGGTCTGCCCTCTGGCGTGTCAGAACTCCACTCGGAATGCCCCTCTCCAGGAGAGCATGGTCCCAGAGGCCGGCGGGGGGGCAGATACAACCACACTGGCTGTGAACTCGAGTAACAGGGGCCTGGGGCTTCATGTAACAGCCTCCTATCCAGGCCTGGAGGTCTGAAGATCAATGGATGAGCCTCTGGGGGCCAAGGGTATGCTAGGCTGGGGCTACAGTGGGGAAAAACCTGGCATGCTGGGTGCACAGTCAAGGCCTGAGGCCGAGAGGTTGGCAAGGGTTCTGAGGGCCCCCCCCGCCGTTTTCTCTGTGGGTGTCGGACAGGGAGGCTGGATTTCTGCAAGTTCAAAAGACCGTTGGTGTTGGAGTTGGGACTGAGGCTGGGGCTGGCAGCTTCTGCTAGGCCAGGAGCTGACTCTGTAAGGGACCTGGGCCGTTGTGTGTTGGGAAGCATTGAAGAAGCTGCTGGGTTGGGTGTGGTGAACTTGTGCTCCGACAAAGATGGCTCCAGCTGAGTCTGAGAGGCAGTAGGCCTGGACTGAGGGACCCCAGTTTCTGGGCCAGGCTTCCTGCCATGCCACTGGAACCGCTTTTTGTAGTGGTGGTGGCGGGGGCGGGGGTAGGGGGTGCGTAGTGGTGGTGGCGGTGGCGGTGATAGTGGATGTGGCTGGAAACCCGAGTCTCCCCTGTGGGCACCACTGAGTCCAGGGAACGGGGTCGAGAGGTCAGACTAGGTTGCATTCCTTTCCCTTGGAGATCCCCTTCAGGGCTGCAGTATACCAAGGGGTCAAAGTCACTGCTCAGGGAGCTGCGGAAAGTAGAACTGCTGCCATGGATGCCCTGCAGACTGATATCCGTGCAGTTGACCACCGAGTCACTGGAAGAGCCATGACAGGGCCCTGAGCTGGAGTCACTGGCTGGCCCATCTGCCAAGTAGCCACTGCGCTCTGTACAGTAGCTTTCTCCAGACCCGCTGCTGTCATGAGGCCTGGCCCGGCGCAGGGCCCCTGGGCAAGCTGTGGGATGCTGAGAGGTGCATCGGAGGTGGCTCAGCCCCCAGCCCCGTGATGCGTAGGGGTGCTGAGATACTGCCAGGTGCTGTTGTTCTTCTGGTGCCCGGAGGTGTGAAGCCCTAGGGAGGCGTTGATGCCGAGAGCCCATACTCGGCTCCTGGGAGGGTAGGAAGGGTCTAGGTCTTGGGGTCCGGGCCACTGAATTCCTGGAAGGGCCCAGCAGGTAGGCAGAGGGGAGATGATAGTGGGCATGGCCAGGATGCTGGCGAATAAGGTGGAGTCTTCTGCCTGGTTCCTGGTAAGTAGGAGAGGCTCCCAGGGCCTGGGAAAATGAATCTCCCTCTGGGAAAAAGAACAAAGAACATGGACATTTGACTTCACAGACTTCATCCAGAGAGTGAAGTAGCTACCGTATCCAATCCTGCATCACCTCTGAACTCAGTTTGGGGGACCCATGCCTGGACTTCACTCCTCCTTTGTCTCCGGCTGTCAATCCCTGCTTCTCCCGCTAGTCATTCCCATTCAAGTCACTTTCACCCTGGGCCACCATCAGCTCACATTGTCCCTTTGAATGGATGAACACAAGGTTCTTCTTCCTCAAGATGTTGACTCTACGTCCGTCCATCTTTTAGAAAATTGCTATACTAGTTTTATTAGATTAGGGTCCTTTATTGCAAGAGCATTAGAATAATGAATTTGTAAATAACCCAGATTTAGAATCAACAATACTGTCATGGAAACACACTCTTTAAGAAAATGGAGATGGCTTCCATATGGATTGCCCTCCCCAACAGACAAGGAGCTCTTGAGCAGTGCGAAGCTGAAGCCACCATGGTGGCAGCTGTTCTTCCTCAGCCGCACAGTAGAAACCCTTTCCCAGGGGGCAGCTATGTTCTAGATCCATCTGTGTGTGCACAAGGGGAGCCCTTGGTACACCTCCTACCTACGATGTTGAACATGCAGAGGGGGCAAGTCCGATGCTGGTATAGCCAGGGGTCCACACAGGTTCGATGGAACTCATGGAGGCAGGAAATGACCCGGAGCTCCTGAAGCAAACAAGAGTGTCCAAAGTTTACAAGGATCTCCCTAACTCCCCTTGGCCTGGCCTTCTCCCAGTCACCTACTTGCAAAAGAACAGGGCAGTAATGGACGTATGGGCTTTGGTAGCTGGTGGATTTGTGTTAAGTGCATGACTTTGGGCAAGTCTCTCTCTCTCTCTCTCTCTCTCTCTCTCTCTCTCTCTCTCTCTCTTTCTCTCTTGTGTGTGTGTGTGTGTGTGTGTGTGCGCGGACCTCTCGACCCTCCTTTTCCTATCGTCCAAATGCTGGATTAGAGTCATGCACCACAATGCTCAGCTCAAGTTTCTTAACAGTTTCTGCTGTCAGTAAGGATAAGAACCCAGTCCACTCCCCACCCTCCTCTGCCATGGGGCTAACACGAGATAATGTGTTTAAAGTGCCACTGTGGCCTGACGTGAGGCTCCCTCTCAACGATACTGGTGCTTTTTCTTAGAAGCCAACAAAATGACCAAGGTTAGGAGCGACACATGGGACCCAGATGTAGTCGGATGTAGTCATACCTAGACCCATCCACCCCCACCTCCACCTCCAGCCTGGCCCCACCTCACCTGCCCCTCTGAGAACTCCTCCAGGCAGATGGCACACATGGGGGCTGAGCTGCAACTGCTCCCTGAGTCTGGCCACTCAGCTCGAGCCCGCCTACAGCTGGCTTGGTACCTCCTGGTAGCCAGCTGGCTGATGGCCCAGGCTGTCCGTTGCTGAAGAGGGTCCTGGGAAGAGGAATGGGGTTCAGATTGAAGCAAGGGCTCTGCATCCCTCTCCCCTGGGCCCAACTTGGACTCAGTTCCACCTCCCCATTAGATCACACAGTCAAATGACTGCCCTGAGGGTGTGTACCCTCAAAGCTCATGCACAGCTGTGACTTCCATCCCAGCACCTTGCTATGTTCCATTATGCTTTTCTTCCTTTGATGACTCATGAGAGAAACTTTAAAATTATTATTATTCTAGTCTATGTGTATGGGTGTTTTGTCTGCATATATGTCTGTGCCCCATGTGTGTGCCTAGTGCCCACAGAGACCAGAGAGGGTACTGGGTCCCTTGGAACTGGAGTTACAGACAGTAACTCCCATGCTCACCCACTCTGGTCTGTACTACTCTGTCATTTTCTCAATGCAGACTCACCTAGACTGGTTTAGAAAAGGCTAAGCCTGTCTCCCCTACCTGCCAGCTCCTCGGTTCTGCTGTTCTCTGTAGCAAGCACATGTTGCTGTCAAAAATATTATACATTCTACTTCTTTTATTACCTGCTTCCTCTCACTAGAACGAAAGCTTTTTAAGAGTGAAGGGTTGGTGTTGGAGAGACGGCTCAGTGGTTAAGAGCACTGATTACTCTTCCATAGGACCTGAGTTCAATTCCCAGCAACCACATGGTGGCTCACAACTACCTATAATGAGATCTGGTGCCCTCTTCTGGCCTTCAAGGACACATGCAGAAAGAACACTATATATATAATAAATAAGTAGAACTTTTTAAAAAAGAGTGAAGGGTTGTTGTCATTTTTACTCACAGTGCTGTTTCTAGAACCTGAAACTGATATATATTAGTCAGTATGATGGATGGATGGATGGATGGATGGATGGATGGATGGATGGATGGATGGATGGGATATGAGGAAAGGTGGCCTCAAGCCATCCGTGAGCCTAAGTTTATTTAGATGGAGGCTGATTCAAGGGCATAAAGACATCCGTCTGCCCCACATTCTTCTTTCTACCTCCACATCTGTACACAAGCCCTTTTGGATCAGGCAGCCCAAACTGCTCACCGGTCTGCTGTGGTGTGGGCGACACCTGATGCGCAGCACTGAAGCCAGGATGATGACAAAGATGGTGCCCACCACAGTCAGGAGGATCCACACGTCATAGTCTGGCTGGGGATGTGGGAAGAAGCAGAGAGGAGAAAAGGTCATACTCTAGAAAGAGTCAGGCCAAGTTGGGAAGGAACACTGGAGTAAAGAGATGGAGTTGAAGGGTCCCCTTGGCCTCCCACCTGAGGGATGAAGGGTGAAAATGGAAGGACCAGGTAGCCTCTCTGCCTTGGGGCTGCAGGAAAGGGAACTCTAGATGCAGCTGTGGGAAGTCTTATTAGGAGCCCCATGTGTGTGCAGGCAGAGGAGGAGAGGATCCCTTTGTAAGGTGGGGGCTACTTGCTGGAGAGCAGCAGGGAGTGGAGAGGCACCCACCAGGGGTCAGAACCTGGGCCAGGCCAGCAGGCTTCTCTACTCTATGCCATGAAACCACAGAGCCTAAAACAGCTGCAGGATTCACCAGACCCCATCTGTTCACCCTGTAGACGAGGCTCAGAGAGCAGGAGAAACTCCCAGAGACCCGGGGCTAGGGACTGAAGTGGACTAGAGGGTTTCCATGGGGCTGGTGGACAGATGCTGGGCTGAGGCCATATGTGCTTACCCAGGCTGGGGGCTCCTTCAGCTCAATCCTCACATGGGCCTTCCGATTCTTGTACACAAACTCCATCAGCTTCTCGGCATCATTACCCCAGATCAGCACCACTGGCCAAGTCAACCCCAGAGGCTGCTGCAGCTGCAGAGAACAAAGTCCCACAAGGGCTCTTGTGACTTCTGTTTCCCCCAGGAACCCTATCTTCCTCCATCCAGACCCTCCCTGGAACACCGGCCTGTCTCTAGGCACCTGCTCAGCAGCTGATCGGTCCTCGGTGATGTCAAAGAGCACTGCACTGGCTCCCCGCTCGCCAGCCATTCGGGCCTGCAGAAACACAGCAGAAGGTAGTCTAGAGCCAGACAAGATCACAGCCCAGCCGTGGGTAGCTCTCAACCCTGAACATACACACACCTCTCCCTAGGATGTGCACCCCGTACACTCCCATGTATGTGTGCAAGGAGTCAGGGAGCCTGGGATACCTGGCTGACCCAGCCCACTGCCTTCATAGAACAACATTCGGCCTTTCATTTTGAAATGGAACACTCACCCAGGTTTTACTGGGTGCCAGTAAACCAGCTTTGGCTCTAGGGTAAAATAAGCCCCTGCTCAGGGATCAAGCAGTTGGAGAACAAAGGGCAGGGAGTGACCAGCAGTTGGAGGGAGATAGGCAGGAAACTGGGAGAGCAGAGGAGGACCCAACCCTGCCTATCCAAAGGTGGCTATGGAATGCCACCCATCAGGAGTGGGGCTCAGACAAAATGCTGAGCGCCTGGGATACCGTTCTGACCCAAAGCTTCCATGGCAGATCCCCCACCGGACTGCATCACACGGGGGCACTCCCTGCCTGCCACCCACCCGCCAGCTTGCCAAGCTCTTTGGTTCCAATCCAGTGCTAGATCCCTTCATCCTCTCCCTTGGGATGGCTGGACTGGGGAGGGACTAAACGGGCTGCTCCCACAAGGACATAACTGTGCACAGGTACAAATGTACGTTTGCCAAGGGCTCCAAGAGCACATCAGAGGCAGTACAATCTAGCCAGCCACGCAGCAGCTCAGCAGTGCAGATAACAGCCAAAGACAGAACAAGAGGAGGGAATCTGGGGCCCGTGTGAGGGTGAGAGGGGGAAGATAAGAGCACAACAGCAACAACTAACTGACAAGTATGAGCACTGTGAATTGGACCCTCCAGACCACAGGCTCACCAGGCTGCGGCCTCCCCTGCCATCTCCCACCCAGGGATCCTCAGGAATCTCTGGGGCCTTCCTGCAGGCAGTGAAGGAGTTAACCCTTCTGCAAGTCACAGAGGCAGGAAGAGGAGCCAGTGCTAGGACTTAGTCACAGTCCCTGTGCTTTGATCTAAGCAGTCTTCCCAAGGAGAGCCTGTTGGGGCAGGTCCCCTGCCAGGCAGGCTGGGAGCAGCTTCAGCCTCTGCTCTCTGCTCCCCACTCCCCAGGCAGTGGCAGGGGCTAATGGGCCCCTCAGAACCAGTTGCCTGCAGGCAGGGGACAGGGAGAGGGCAATGAGGACTTATGTAGGGCTCTTTTTTGGGCAGAATAACTTTCCTTTTTTGTCTCTTGCTCCAGGGAGCTGGGCTGGTCCCTCTCCTGGGCCTGCCCAGAATAAACGATTACCACCCGAAGTCCTGAGGAAATTCATGGACTCTACAATGGACTGAGGAAGAAACTGAGAAATTGCAGCTTCCGCTGTCCTTTTAACCACTTCCTCCCAGAAAACACAGCCGACTCAAACATGTCTTCAGGGCCTTCCAAATTAGGGCTTTCAAGAAGTGTTGGCGCCAACAAGTGGTGGTGGTGGCGGTGTACACCTGTCTTTAATCCCAGCACTCAAGAGGCAGAGGCAGACAGATCTCTGAGTTCAAGGACAGCCTTATCTACAGAGCAAATTCCAGGACATCCAGAGCTACACAGAAAAACCCTGTCTCAAAAATAAATAAATAAATAAATAAATAAATAAATAAATAAATCAAACAACAAAAAGAAGTGTTGAGAAAGGAACCTAACAGAGGAATCCTACTGGTAATCTCATAGTCCAGGGGTGGGGGAGGTGTGGGTTGGGTACCCAGGAGTCATAGAATGAGATTCCTAGAGCCTCAAGTTTCCCATACGAAAGATTCTGGGCTCAGTGTGGCCTAGAAGAGCATGGGGGCTCCCTTCTTTGGAGATTTTCTTACTTCTTCACCCTGTTCTCTTTGAAGAATTGGGGTAGGAACAGTAGAAAGCAATTACTGTGAGGTTCAAACACCCTAGCTCATTACAGCCCATAATTACAAAGTTATAAAACTGATCAAAGAGCCCAGAGAGTTTGCCAACAGGAGAAAATAAACAGGACTTTCTGGCAGTGGGTTCCTGTGTCCGGAGTTCTAGAGACAGAAAGCAAGATTTGGGGATGGATGGCTTTCTGAACCTCTTGCCCACTTGCACCCAAGAGTAGGAGCTACGGAGTATCTCTTTGAGGAGTGGAATATGGAAGACAGGGAGGATGGGTAAGCTCCCATAACCAGATACCCAGCTACATAAAGATAGCACGGTAGCTCTCTGGACGCTACAGGGTGGGCCAGACCTTGGGCCAGCAATCAACGCTGCAACAGGAGCCAATTCGGATCATGAAGAGGGGGAGTTGGAAGCCTGTCTCTTGGTCAACTATTCAGCTGTTAAATTTTGCTCTACAGACCACGGTGGCTGCTTCTGTATACCATCTGCTCATCCCCAATGCAACAGCACCCACTATGCCTGAGCTACTAAGCCAGGAAGGTCTGTCTGGACTTTCTGTGCACATAAAACTAGAAGTGCTTTCTCTGGAGCCATGGCTCAGTGGTTAAGAGCACTGGCTGCTCTTCCAGAGGTCCTCGGTTCAATTCCCAGCAACCACATGGTGGCTCACAATGGGATCTGATGCTCTCTTCTGGCATGCAGAACACTCATACATAAAATGTAAATAAATGAAATTTTAAAAAAGAAAAGTTTTTTTTAAAAAAACAAACAAACAAACAAACAAACAAAAAACTAGGAACAGACAACAGTCAACACTGTTCACTTCAGAATGGCCTTCCCTCTACCGTCTGATTCCCAATCCAACACACTCAACGCACAAAACAGACAACTGATGAGGGCATGAGGGGAAAGTGCCTTCTCCTCCCACACCGACCCCCTCCCACTCCCCACTCCCACCCCTGGCACCTCCAAGAATCACAGACTTAGCAGAACATTTAGTTAAAAAATCCCTTTGGCCAAAGACCCCCGTCTGCTGGGAGGAGTGCTAGAGGGAGGGATTTCTGCTCCTCCAGGGCTGGGTCAGATCCGGCAGGAGTGGCACTGGGCTGTGCTTGAGAGCAGCAGGAGAAGGAAGGAGGGAGAAGGCATGTGTTTCTTACTGAGATCTACCCTGCCTAGAAGAGTGCCTAAGTGGGAATCCCAGCTCTGCTCCTACTATTAGCTGTGAGACTTTGGTGCAACACCTCCATGCGTCTGTTTTCTTTTCTGTGAACTAGGACAATAACAGACCGTGCCTCATAGAGCCACTGTGAGAACCCCATTAATTAATCCATATAAAGTACTTAAGTCTGTGCCTGGCACATGGTGTTATTGTATGTGGTTTTCATACATGAGTTCACTTATTCCTTAATATTCCCTAAGACAGCAGGGAAACCAAGACTCAGAAGGCCTGAACTGGTCCATGGACACCAACTGAGAAGCAGTGAAAACTGTACATCATCACCCTGGACTTCAGCATCCAGAGCATCTACTCTTTCTGTCTTGTTTTGTTTTGTATTAAGGCGAGGTCTCACTATGTGGCCCAGGCTGGCCTCATACTCACCACCCTACTCTACCCTCTCAGTGTTCCTGCATGCTGTGGCAGGTATGTGCCACCATGTCCAGCTCGAGAGTGCCTTCCCTTAACCACTCACTGGGTGGTGGCCATCTTGGTGGCCAGCCGCTTGTCTCTCTATCGAATTCCTTCCATCAGGCAAAAGGCCTCTGTACTTGTCCAGGCATGATAGGGGAATCGGAGCTGCTGAAGAGGTGGGTAGGAACAGTTACAAGAATGGAAAAGTCCAAGAGAATGATGGGGGTTTCAGAGAAGAGCAAGTGAGATAAGTATGAAAAACAAAAACAAACAAAAAAAAAACCCAGCCTTTATGGGCTGTAAAGGGAATGAGGGAAGAATGTTCGGTGGGGTGGAACACACACTTAGCATGTACAAGGCTCTAGGTTCAATCCCCAGGGAAAAAAAAAAAAACCAAACCAAAATGAAACAACATAATCAAACACCTGGGAGTGAATTGTAATGTCAGTGACGATGCAATCATCACTGTAGTCATTTCTTGACCGATTACTATTGTGCTTAGCACTGGACTATGAGTTTGCATCTCTACTGTCTCATTAAATCCTCATAACTAGGGCAGGAGAGATGGTTAAGAACACTGGCAGCTCTTCCAGAGGACCCAGGTTCAAATTCTTGCACCCTCATGGTGGTTCACAAAGATCTTTAACTTCAGTTCCAGAGGATCTGATGCCCTCTTCTGGCCTCTGAGGTCACCAGGAATGCACAGACACATATGTAGACAAAACACCAATACACATAAAATACTCCTTCCTTCCCTGCCCCCATCCCCTCTTCCTTTCATTTATTCATTTTTTTTGAGAGGGTCTCTTCTATTCTAGGCTAGACTTGTACTTGATTTGCAACCAAGATGCCCTTGAATTCTTAACCCTCCTGCCTCCACTGGTCTTCCTTTCTTTTCTTCTTTCTGCCTTTCTTTCTTTCTTTCTTTCTTTCTTTCTTTCTTTCTTCCATTCTTTCTTTTTGAGACAAGATCTCAGTATGTAGCTTTGGTTAACCTGAAATTTGCAATGTAGAACAGGCTAGTTTTGAACTTATAGAGCTCTTTCTGCCTGTGCCTTTTGAGTACTGAGATTACAGGCCTGTGCCACATGCCTGGCTTAGTTTTGATTTTGTGCTTGCTTTAATTCAAGCACTGCTGATACTTGAGGCACGTGACTTTTCATGCTTACAGTAATCACAGGGAAAAACAGAGCCCTAACAAGCACCCCAAAGGGCGGTCCTCAATACAGTGTCTATGCATAATACTCTTCTGCAAGGATGGGGTCCCTGGGCCTGGAGAGATGATGGCTCAGTGGTGAAGAGCACTAGCTGCTCTTGCAGAGCAACCTAGGATTGGACAGAGGCACCCACATAGCAGTCCACAACAGTCTGTAACTTTGGCTCCAGGGAACTGGATGCCCTCTTCTGGCCTCTAAGGACATCAGGCAAGCTTGTAGTGTACACATATATACATGCAGGCAAGACACAAAAGATAAAAATAAATCTCTTTGTTGTTGTTTGAGACAAGTTCTCTCTCTATAGCTTTGACAATGCTAGAACTCACAGAGATCTGTCTGCTTCTGTCTCCCAAATGCTGGGACTAAAGGCAAGGGCCACAATGCCCAGCTAAAAATAAATATTATTAAAAAGAAAATAGGTAACGTGTTCCTACAGAGGTCAAGGAGAACTGCAGGAAGCTGGCATGGTGCAGGCCTATGGACATCTTCAGTCAGTCTGGGTTGTGAGAACCCAGGCAGGCCTGTGAGAGTCTTCTGACTCTCAGCCTGAATGTTATTTTAAGTTTTTATTTGTTTTGTTTTGTTTTTGAGACAGGGTTTCTCTGTGTGGTCTTGGCTATCCTGGAACTCACCCTGTAGACCAGGCTGGCCTTGAACTCAGAGACCTGCTTCCCCATGCCTCCCAAGTACAAGTATGCCAACACTGTCTGGCTTATTTTCAGTGTTTAAATGTGGCAATTAGTTTACATTTCAGTGGGAAGGATTTTGTTTTGTTGGCTGAGTATTTGTTTTTTCCTTTTGAGACCAGGTCTCATACAGCCAGGCTGGCCTCACACTCACCAGGTGACGGAGGTGACTTTGAATTTCTAGTCATCTTGCCTTCCTTCATCCTGGAGGGCAGGGATTATAAGCATGTACCACCAAGCCTGACTTTATGAATGTTAGAGAACAAACCCAGGGCCTGTGCAGTCTAGATCAGCTGAGCCATATCCCCAGTCCTAATTTACATATGACCCTTGTGCAAGTCGGAGTCATCTAGCAGGCCCAAAGTTAACAAACCTCACAGGAAATGTGTAAACATTGTAGGGAGAGTAATCGCTTCCGCTTGGCTGCTTTCTTTTTCTTTTTTTTTTTTTTTTGAGTCAAGGTTTTGTTATACAGCACTGGCTGACCTGGTACTTACTCTACAGCCCAAGCTGGCCTGAAATCCCAGCTCAACCTCCTGAGTGCTGGAACCACAGGCATGAGCCACCAGGCTTGGCTGTTTTGCTGTTCTTGTGAAAATCTTCAGCAGATGTTTGTGAAGTGTGAAAAAAAAAAATCCTTCAAGGGACACCCCACCCTGTACCTCCCACCCAACTTGTTCTTGTGCTGAGGAAGGGAAAGTCCTCCTGAATTTCTAAGAGATGAAGTTGGGGTATGGGGTGGAGCTCATGCTGGCATGAAACTCAAAGTCCTGGCACTGCTTGGTGGAGTAAGGACAAAGGTTGAGAGCTATGGGAACTTGAGGGATGCAGGCTTAGCATTCTTTTTTTTTTTTTTTTTTTTTTTTCGGTTTCCGTGACAGGGTTTCTCTGTGGCTTTGGAGGCTTGTCCTGGAACTAGCTCTTGTAGACCAGGCTGGTCTCAAACTCACAGAGATCCACCTGCCTCTGCCTCCCGAGTGCTGGGATTAAAGGCATGTGCCACCACGGCCGGGCCAGGTTTAGCATTCTTAAAAAACTTACTATTTTATGTGTCTGTGTATTTTGCCTGCATGTGTCTATGTACCACCTTTGTCCCTACACCTGTGAAGGTCAAGAGAAAGCGTTGGATCCCCTGGAACTGAGTTACAGATGGTTGTGAGCCACCATGTGGGTGCTGGAAATCAAACCCAGATCTTCTGGAAGAGCAGCCAGAGCTCTTCACCACCGAGCCGTCTCTCCAGCCTCAAAGGGCTTATCATTTGAAGAGACAAGTGGACAAGAGAGCACAGGGTCCCTGCAGCCCAGCACTGGGTACAGCTGAGGACGTGTGATGTGAGAATCTACCTTACTGGCCAGTGACAGGCAGGGGCGCGGAGCTCGTCGAGGACTCTCCAGCTTGACGATGCTGATGAATCCAGGCTCCAGGTTGTCGTCATCACTGGCATTACACAGGTACAGCGGGTGGGACTGCAGAGAGATGAAGACCTGGATTAGAGTTGCCCTGAGGAGCAGGTATGAGCTAGGGACAAGGACCAAGCACATCTACATTATCCTAGGCAGGTTCCAGGGTGGTCTCTTTAAAAAAAAAAAAAAGTTTAAAAACAGTGTGTGTGTGTGTGTGTGTGTGTGTGTGTGTGTGTGTGTGTGTGTGTGTGTGTTCTCGTGTGTGCACAGGCCACAAATGTGAGCACATAACTGGGGGTCAGAGGACAAGTTTCAGGGGTTGATTTTCTCTTTCCACCATGGGATCTAGGGAATCAAACTCAGGTTGCCAGGCTTGCACTGCAAGTACTTTTACCTGCTGAGCCATCTTGCTGGCCCCGAGTAGGTTTCTTGGTACTATAAAAGAGTAGACCTTCCCTGGGCATGGTGGCTGATGCATATAATTCCAGAACCCAGAAGGCAGAGGAAGGAGGTTCACCAGAAGTATGAAGCCAGCCTGGGTTTCACAGTGAGTTTCAGGCCACCGTATCTCATAAGAGGGAGTCTCATTACTAGATAGACTCATCATAAACTAGTAATAATTATTTGTCACGTCAAAGGTGCTGGGGTCCAGGGGTTGGGGTAGGTGGGAAGGAGGAGTATGGCAGACAGGATCTAAATGAAAAGCCTGCTGTGGCATAGCTGCAGAACAGCTATATGTTTCCAAATGGACCAAGTCCATTTGGTCCCTCTTCTGACCAGTGTCTCCTGATCCATCTACTTGCTCCCAAACCTCTAGGCTCTGAGAGTGTTCAAGTACTCCCAAACCTCCAGACTCTGAGAATGCTCAACTGCTCCCAAACCTCCAGGCTCCAAGAGTGTTTCTGTAATCTCCAAGCTCCAAGAATGCTCCCAAACCTCCAGGCTCTGAGAGTGCTCATGTGCTCCTGCCTCTGTGCCTTCTATGCCTGAAGGCAGTGCCAGGTGCTACTGATGCCTTTTGGGATGGCTTAACAGTTGTTGCCCTGTAGATTCTGGCCTCTGTCTTCCAACTCATGATATCTATCCCTGCTTCTCACTTTGCCTGTGAGTGCCCTGTGCTCATCATGTGATCAAGCAAGCTGCTAGAGGAGGCTGTCTTTGGATGAAGTGTGGTCAAGACTTAAGAACTGACCAACTTAATTCCTGTCCACAGGAAGGATGCTGTAGAGATGGGACCATCTCTGCCCATCAGCTCTGGGACTATGGAAGAGGTCTAATCCAAGACACTAATGACTAAAGAGAAAATGGGCCAACTGTGTGGACAGAAATCCTAGGACCCCTTCATCAGAGAAATGAGACCCTTTACTAAACAATCTTATTCTATATTATTCCTTTAAAATTTACAACATTTTATTTACTTTTTGTGTACGTGTGGGATGCATGCCATGGTATTCTCAAGGGAACCTATTCTCTCCTTCCACCATGGGGATCCAGGAGATTGAACTTGGGTCATCAGGTTTGGTGTCAACCCAATTATTGAGCCATCTCACCTGCCCTTCATTCAAGACAATTCTAAAATATATTCGAATCTAATTTTCCCAAAGTGATAGGAAAACAAAGTAGTGTTTGCTTCTCCTTGGATAATCGTCCAGGTCAGGGAGTCCCATATCTTGGCAAGAGAATGATTTCCTACAAAGGGGTAGTAGATACTTCCCTCTCTGGTGACGCTTAAGTTCGAAGTACTTCAGAAAGTCCCATGAGAGGAACTGCAGAGAATTTCAAATTGATGATGGTGATGTGCACTATGGCTTTAAAACCACAGTCACTTCCTGGACGCTTTCTCAGACTCATCTCTTACTGATTCAAACACAGTAGGTTCTCAACCCATGTGTACTTGGATCATAACATCTCTGGGTAAGTAGAAGGAGTTCTATTCTTATTTCCAGAATCTAAGGGTTACTGACTGGTGGTAATGGAGGCTCAGTGTGGGAGAAAGGTTAAATACCTTTGTCTCCAGAAAATGAATGGCATGAGGCTGGGCTGTTTTCTCTTCAGTGAATACCTTGCCTTTAGTCTGCCTATCCAATCATCCATCCATTCCTTTGTGTGTGTGTGTGTGTGTGTGTGTGTGTGTGTGTGTGTGTGTGTGTGTGTGTCTGTGACCCATTTGTTTTTGTGTATATATACACGTTCGAGTTAAGGCCAGAGGTTGATGCTGGGAATCTCAGTCAATTGCTTTCCACCTTACTTTTATAGACTGGGTCTCTCACTGAGCCTGAAGCATGCAGTTAGGCTAGACTGGCTAGCCAGCATACTCCCAAGGACTTGCCTTCCCAGCACTGGGATTACAGGTGTGCACTGCCATGCCCAGCTTTTTTTTTTTTTTTTTTTTAAGGTTTATTATTTCTATTTTGTCTGTATGAGTGCTTGTCTGAGAGTGCACAACTTGTGTACCTGGTGCCTGAGGAGGCCAGAAGAGGGCATCAGATCCCCTGTGAGCTGTGAGCTGCCATGTGGGTGTTAGAAACCAAACTCAGGTCCTCTGAGCAGTGTTCTGAACTGAGTAGCCATCTCTTCAGCCAGTGCCCAGCTTTTTTTTTTTTTTTTTTTTTTTTTTTTTTTTTTTTTTTTTACATGGTGCTGGGGACAAAACTCCAGTCCTCACTTTGTGTGGCAAGAACTTTACTGGCCAAGCCATCTCCCCAGCCCTCCATTCATTCCTTAATTCTACCAACCCTGAAGGCTCCCACCATGCCATGTAAACACACTGCCCTGTGGTGTTCTGATTCCAGTGTGTTCAAGAGACTATTGAGGATATGAGAAGCAGAGACTAGTCATTCCATATGAGGAACTGAATATTTTTTGCAAGGGTTATTGGGGGCTGACTAAGTATGTGTTCACCTGGAAGACCAACAGAAGAGAGCAGAGAGGTCATTCCGGGCAGAGGAAGCCACCTGTACTGAGAACACAGGCTGAGATGGGACTTTGGGAAGATGGGGTAGGCATGGGCAGAATGGCAGGGAAAGAGGCTGGGAGGAGCAGCAGGAGCCAGGCCACGGTGCAGACCACAGGCTTGTACACAGGAGGGTTCCCCTGCTGATTCAGGAGAGTCTGTGTGGAGGATGGCTGGACACAGCTGTACCTACAGAACAGAAACTCCTGGGACATAGAAATTAACCACAGAAGTCTACTGGGTTGACTAGCTTGACCTCCCTCCACAGGCCAGTCTCTAAGACTCCAAGACACCCCCCACACTCCCCCACACACATACACACACACCTCTACCAGTGAGCAGAGGGCAGATCTGGAAAGGGAAGAGTTGCAATATTTTCCCACCACTCAGTCTCTGAGCCTCCATGGAGAACCACCATCCTGTCGGAGGATGCCTCTGGCAAGGTGGAAGAGGTGAGCCTGGAGTCAAAATCACCAGATTGTCTGATTCTGAACCAGAAACCAAGGGTCTGAGAATGGGAGGCGACTGGCCATTGTAAGGTCTCCTGCCTTCCAGGGCTTCAGGCCAGGCCTTACTTCACTGTGAGGCAGGCATTGCCTCCACGTACAAAGAGTCTGAGGCTCAGAGAAGCCAACGTCACACACGATCAGAGCTTAGCATGTCGGACTCCGTCCTCTGCAGTCATGAAGCTCAACATGAATGCAGAGGCAGCTCCACGTGTCTCGGCAATGGTAATCATGAGGAGGACAGCAGTTTGCACCCATTGTTCTAAGTGCTGCTGGGCCATAAGTCCTTTCACCTGTGGATCACTATGAGGTAGAAGCTAGTGTTGTCCCCCCTTTGAAGATGAGGAACCGAGGCACCAAAAGGTTAAGAGTACCATAGTTGGTGACTGACAATGGGATCAGAAGAAACAGGGTAGGAGAATAAGTTAAAGGGAAAAACAGGGGGGGGGCTGGGTATAGTGTCACATGCCTGTAATCACAACACTCAAGAGGGCTGAGACAGAAGAAAAGCCATAGGTTCCAGGTGAGCTTGGGCTCCATTGTGAGTCCCAGGCCAGCCTGAGCTACAGTGTTTACATTTGGCTTTGAAAGCATGATATCCTTCCCCAACTCATAACCAAATTATATGGGGTACTTTCTGTTGTTTGACACAGGAGCTGACTATGTAGACCAGCAACTTGTGGTAAGTCTCCTGTCCCTACCTCCCAAGACCTGAGATTATAAGTGTGCCCCATCATGGCCAGCTAATTCTATGTTTGTAAAGTCAAAAGGCCCAAATACAAGTCCCCAGAATGCTGATGACTCCAGGATGTTGACCTGGGAACACATTCTTTGAGTGACCCAACCAACCCCACTGAAAGGTTCAGGCATTATGCTGGCCTGCCCCTGTTATCTGATGGAATCCACTCAGGCAATACCCTGGTCAGCCCAAGGTTCCATGGGAAAGAAGTCTGCACGCAGGTGCAGAGGACCCCTTTAAAAGATAGGCTCCTGCCCCTTTACGCTCTCTCTCGCTCTGTTCCTCTGTCTCTCTGTTTCTCTGTCCCGAGCTCTGTGCCCACCTATGCTCCCGCTCTGTCTCTCTATGGTGACCGGCCATGGCGGTCAGCTATTTACCCTGTTCCTCTTCTTAGTCTCCCCATTCTACCGGGCCTTATAATAAACTTTAGTCAATATGTCTGTCTCAGCAATTTCTCTTTTCTTCTTTTTAAACAAAACAATAACACCCACAACCATGGTTCTTCACTTGCAGCCTCATTTTGAGGGCCAGATCCCTATGTCCAAATGTCTCTACATCCTTCTGTGCCTAGAATCTTAAATGAGATACCTCAAACCCAGCCTGCTCAAGACAGACCAAATCGCTGTATAGTCTAGAACTGGGTCTTCCTTTCTCTGGTCTGAGAAACATGACCCACCTGTCACCCAGCCAGGTGCTACCCATCCAGTCTCCTCTATTCCTTCAAACATCAACATGTGAGAAATCAACCAAAGACCTGGGCATGGTGGCTCATATCTTTAATCCCAGGACTCAGGAGGCAGGGGCAGGAGGATCTCTGAGAGTTCAAGGACAGCCTGGTTTACAAATGAGTTCCAGGACAG